TCCCCACCCGCACACTCCGCACCCATCTCCTCCTTTCCTCCGCTTTTTATTACAAACCCCAAACTTCCCGCGCATCTCCCGACCCAAAACCCCCCCAAACCCCCCCCAAAACCCCTCTCAGGGGTAAAACCTCCCGGCCAACAGCCCCAGCCTGTGGATGTTCCTGTGCAGGACGCTGTGCAGCACCGCCAGGTGTTTCCCCACGTCCCCGTCCCGCCCGAAATCCCTGCGGAACACGCCCAGCTCGGGCTGGAAGGTGAATTTCTGGGGCAGGGGGCTGTTCTCCCGCAGGTACCCCCAAACGCTCAGCAGCAGCAGGTGAACCTCGAAGGGCGCCAGCTCCGGGAACAGCTCGTGCATGTTGCCCAGCACCGGCGGCAGCAGCGAGCCCTCGGCCAGCAGCGCCACCAGAGCGCACGACGCCCGCAGGTGCCAGGGCGAGGCCACCGTGCTGCTGGCCCGGCACGCGTCCCAGTGGGCCACCAGGCTGGCCAGCAGCCCCCGGAGCAGCACGGAGCAGTAGCACAGCGCGGGGCGGCCGCCGGCCACCAGCCGCAGCAGCGGGAAGAGCAGCGGGTGCTGGCGGAACCGCCGCAGGATGCGCAGGTCGCGCTCCACGGTGGCCCGGGCCAGCTCCTCCGGCGGCCAGGCCAGCTCGGCCCCGGCGGCCTCGGGGCAGACGGCCTCCACCAGCGCCGCGGCCACCGCCTTGGCGGCCTCGGCGCCCACGGCGGGGCCGGAGCCGCGGCAGCAGCGCAGCACCAGGCTCAGGAAGGTCTGCGTGTTGCGGCTCAGCTCCTCGGGGCCGCGTCGGCCGCCGCCGGCCGCCGGTTTGGGCCCGCGGCCGATCACCCCGGCGTGGAACACGGACCAGACGCCGCCGGAGGCGTTGAGGCCGGCGGTGAAGCGCCGGTTGGTGTCCAGCAGCGACGCGGCCGGCGGCGCCGGCGCGGCCTCGTGGCCGGGGGGCTCGGCGGTGCCGCCGAAGAGCTCGGCGTTGCGGCCGCCCAGAGCCCCCTCCACCAGCTGGGCCAGCACGGCCTTGGCGGCCGCGGGGCTGACGGCGCTGAGCCGGGCCAGCAGCCGCACGCCGGGGGCCAGCGCGGCCGCGTCGCCCAGCCACAGCCCCGCGAAGAAGCGGCGCACGGCGGCGCGCACGGCCGGCAGCAGGTGCGCCGGCGGCAGCGCTCGGGGCAGCGGGCAGGCGGCCAGCAGGCGACACGCCGCCTCGGCCACCTCCGGCCGCGGGTGCAGCAGCAGCCGCGCCAAATCCGGCAGGTGCCGCGCCAACGCCGCGCCCAGCGCCGGCTCCCCGGCCTCGCCGTCGCCGTCGCGCGGCTGCTGCAGCAGCAGGGCCAGGTTGCGCAGGAGCTGCGCCAGCTGCGGCTCCGGCAGGCGGCCGGCGTGGATCTGCGCCACGGCGGCGGCCACGGCGGCGGGCAGCGGGTCGGGCAGCACGGCGCGCAGCCCCGCGTGCAGCTGCGGCGCCAGCGCCAGCTCCTCCGGCGTCCTGGCCAGCGCCAGCAGGAAGAAAAGCGCCTCGGCCGCGCCGTGCGGCGCCGAGTGCACGGCCAGCAGCGCCAGCAGCTGGTGCTGCCACAGGCAGCGCTTCCGCTCCAGCCGCAGCGTGTCCAGGCACAGCTCGCGCACGTGCGGCCGCAGCGCGTCCAGGAACGGCACCGGGCGCGCCGGGCACTCGGCCGGGCCGGCGGAGCCGCGGCCGTGCACCAGTTTCTGCAGGTGCAGCAGCAGCAGCTGCAGCAGGCGCTCGCAGGCCTCGCGGACGCCCTCGTGCAGCGCCGGCCCCGGCGCGGCGATGACGGAGGCGGGCGCGGCCGTGGCCAGCAGGAAGCGCAGCGTCCGCAGCGCCCCGGCCGAGGTGTGGCACAGCAGGTGAACCACCACGCCCACCACGCCCTCCAGCTCGTCCCTGGGCACGGAGGAGAAGTGCTGGTGCAGCTGGTTGAGCACCGGCGGCTTCAGCGAGTCCACCAGCTCCGGCGACACGGTGGCCAGCAGCGCGGGCGACATCAGCGCCAGCTGCAGCAGGAAGGGCACCGTGGCCTTGTGGTGCTCGCGGGACGAGCCCAGGCTCTCGTGGAACATCCTCAGCAGCTCCTGCTTGATGCTGCCGGCGTGCCGCGACGCCAGGTGGCCCAGGATCCCCACCACCGAGGCGATCTTGGGCACGCGCTTATCGCCCGCCGCGCCCGGCGCCGCCGCCGCCTCGCCGCCGCCGCCGCCGCCGCCGTGGGCGCAGAAATCCTTGAGGCCGCAGGACAGCACGCGGCTGATGATGGTGCCGGGGAAGGAGGAGCCCACGTGAGCCACCACCCAGTCGAAATGCGGCGAGTGCTGCACCGACGTGTCCAGCAGCGCGTCCACGCAGGCGTCGGGGCAGCTGCCCACCATGGCGGCCAGGCACTGGCTGTAGATGTCCAGCAGCGCCCGCGTGGCCGGGCACGACATCCAGAGCTGCAGCAGCTCGTTGAGGCTGCTGGCCGGCGGCACCCCGGGCCGCCCGGCGTATTTGCTGCTCAGCTGCCCCATCAGCTCGCTGGCCCACGCCGCCACGCCCGGAGCCCACGCCCGGGGGTTGGCGGCCACCAGCTCGGCCAGGGAGCGCCGAACCTCCTGCAGGACCTCGGCGCCCGGGCAGGGTTTGGGGGCCGGGGGAGCGGAGGAGTCGCGCTGCAGGAGGTGGGAGCACACCTGCTCGTCGAAGAGGCTGCGCAGGTGCTGCAGGGCGGCGTGGCGGGCGGGGGGCAGGCAGCGCAGCAGGCGCAGGGCGCAGCGGGCGTGGGCTGGAGGGGAGAGGGGAGTGCCCTGGACGGGGTCCAGCCCGCTCAGGAAGGCTTTCACCTCCTGGGACAGCTCCTGAGCGCTGTGGGGAGGGGGGAAAATAGGGGGGGAAAGGGTTAAAAATGGGGGGCAGATGGGAAAAAATCCCCGTTCCCCTGGGGAAATTTGGGGATGGAGGAGCATTGGGGGTGGGGGGAGTGCGGGGAAGGGGAAGGAATGGGTTAAAAAGGGGAGGGGTGGGAAGAACTCGCCGTTCCCCTGGGGAAATTTGGGGATGGAGGAGCCTTGGGGGGGATGGGAAGGGAGGAAATGGGGGGGGAAAGGGTTAAAAATGGGGGGTGGGAGAGTTGGGAATTCAAACCCCCACACCCCGGGGGGAAATCTGGGGATGGAGGAGTTCTGTGGGGGATGGGGAGGGGGAAAACGGGGGGGAAAGAGTTAAAAATGGGGGGTGGGAGAGTTGGGAATTCAAACCCCCACACCCCGGGGGGAAATCTGGGGATGGAGGAGTTCTGTGGGGGATGGGGAGGGGGAAAACGGGGGGGAAAGAGTTAAAAATGGGGGGTGGGAGAGTTGGGAATTCAAACCCCCACACCCCGGGGGGAAATCTGGGGATGGAGGAGTTCTGTGGGGGATGGGGAGGGGGAAAACGGGGAGGAAAGGGTTAAAAAGGGGGGGCAGATGGGAACAATCCCCTCCCATGGGTGAAATTTGGGGATGGAGCAGTTGTGTGGGGGTGATGGGAGGGGGAAAACGGGGATGAAACGGTTAAAAATGGGGGGTGGGAGAGTTGGGAATTCACACCCCCACACCCTGGGGGGAAATTTGGGGATGGAGGAGTTCTGTGGGGGTGATGGGAGGGGGGGAAATGGGGAGGAAAGGGTTAAAAATGGGGGTGGGAGAGCTGGGAATTCACACCCCCACACCCCATGGGTGAAATTTGGGGATGGAGGAGCCTTGGGGGTGATGGGAGGGGGGGAAATGGGGAGGAAAGGGTTAAAAATGGGGGTGGGAGAGCTGGGAATTCACACCCCCACACCCCATGGG